CCTTTTCACTCAGATCATCCATCACATGCATTTTGCAAAATATGAAAAAAAGACATTTAAATTTAAGTGCTTCTTCAGGCAATTTGAATTATGATATTAAATAATATTTTAAAACGTAATTGCACCAAAAATCTTTGAGACAACAAATGTAAATTCTTCTTCTATGACTATGAGACTTTTTATAAATATAAATATATTTTTTATAAATCCTTTTTATCCCCTTCTTGTAGATAATCTATTTCAGCCCCCCATATGTATAATAATCTATCGGATAAAGTTACAAAGGTGGAGATCTTATTTGCAAATTTCATTGACATTGCAATCATATGTAAATGGAACTTGTTGTTTGGGTTTTCAAAACTAATCCAGAACTATCAAGAAAGGAAACGTTTGCATCTGCATGCATTCAAAACAATGAAAAAGTTATAATTTTTTTTTATAATTTACTAAAATATACCCTTTTAGACGTTTCATTTTTTTCTGTACAATTTTTCATGCTGAGTACAGTTTTTTTATCCCACAGGTTGGCATGTATGGCATATGGTTATAATTTTTAAGTTGAATCAGATTTAAGGAAACTATTTTAGTTTTAGTTTAGGCCTACTTACTAATACTACAAGTTATTATTAATATAAAAGTGAATGATTGTTATCGTTTTAAATAGCTTTTTAAAATGGTTTTTGAAGTATTATTATCCGTATCTGGAAATTTGATTGAAAGAAATTTCATCAACGGTAAATTGATCGACGGTAATTTGATCGAACGGAAATTTGGTAGAATCAATTTTTCAGTTTTTTCGTTAAAATCTTGCTTCAAATTTCTTTTTGAACGCATTATTTTGTTTCACTATATAGTATAGTGCGTTCAAAAAGAAATTTTACGAAAATGTTGACGTGTGAACTGAAAAAAAGATTCGACCAAATTTCCGTTCGATCAAATTACCGTCGATCAATTTACCGTCGACGAAATTTCTTTCAATCAAATTTCCGGTAACCATTATTATCCTTATTAATTAAATAATCTTAGTACTCGTAGGTAGTAAGTAGACATAATCAGTCAGGCTACTCGTAATGAACAAATCACTAAATGAAAATGAGTCTCGGCAACAATTACAATACAAATCAAAGTAAAAAAAAACAACAACGGGAAACACAATTGCAATTTCACATAATATTTCATCAATGGAGAAAAACAGATATTTCTTTGAGACAATTTAATTGTGTCACGTGTTTATTGATTTCCTCTAAATTTAAGTGATTCGCTACACTTTGTACATCTAACCCTTATAAGATTTACCGCAGTTTTACGTACAACTCACAGTACGGTTATTCCAGCCACCATTAGTATAGCATAGCAACCAGCCACAAGTAAGGTTGATTTTGTTATTTTTATTTCATTGTCGTAAATTAATAAAAACAAATTATTTCGCCTTTTTTCTACCCGTTTTTATTGCTAGGATTCTATGGCCTATTTTACTATTTTTAAGTTGGGCCCACGGTACTTACGGAAACTTTAAATTGTCGAATGTTATTATTTACTAATTTTCAAAATAATCATTAAAATGTGAAGATGATTAGACAAATATATGTTATTTCATGCGTAACTTGACAAGGCTGTCAAAGTTCGAAATTGAATTTAGATTCCATAATAAATAATATTTTGTAATTTTGTCTAGCCTTATTAGTGTTAACTGATGCTACGAACTACTACCCTTTTTAGTTAGTTTGTGGGGTTAGAATTGAAATATGCTAAATCACCTAAATGTAGTTTCACTAGACTAAACTAAGGCCTAAGGCGCTAATTGCTCAGAAGAAGGCTTCCTTTCGTACTATTACTTTTATTACTATTAGTTTTAGGATTTGTGTTTGTTCATGATTCAGTAATTGGGCAAACTCATCATGAGTTTCCATACAATGTATTAATGATGCCGCATTATCGTCGCATAGGCCAGGCAGTAGGCATAGAGATCAATAACTATAATAATTAATATATAGACTATATACTAGTCTTATACTACTAATATCAGACTAATAATTTACAAATAGTATTTGGTACTAATAGTAATAATAATATTTAATTCTAATAGTATTATTAGTATACAGATTAGGCCTAATAATTAGTAATAATAATAAACATAAATAAAACAGCAACGTATTATTTAGTAGGGCATGGCATTGTAATTGAACTAATTGTATGGGCAGGCATTTTGATTTAAAAATAATGAAATAAAGCCAAGTGGTAGATTAGTAAAAGTAAACTAACTAATAATAAATAAGTTATTGACTATAGAATAATTTATTTTTAAGACACTTTTTAAAGTCAAAAGTTTAAAGTATTTTTTAATGCTTTTATTAACTTTTAGTTTTAATATATTTAGGCTATTAGTATTGATTAGGCAGGCCATGTAGTATAACGAGTAGACTATTTAACAATACTAATACTAATATATCAAATAACAATTAATTATTGATTGTGCAGACAAAGAACTAAGTTATAAAAAAAACAACCAAAAAAAAAAAAAAAAAAAAAAACCCACATTTCCACAAAATTCTATCATAATTTTAAGAATATTATTTTAAATTAAAATGGAACCTCATTCTTTCCATTTCATTAATTTAATTCAATTTATAGTTGTTCTGTGTAATATGCACCAGAGTTTCCAGTCTGCGACCTCATAAAATTAATATTTATGGTCAAATAAAAATGAATAAATCTAGCAATGGTCCTGAGAGCAATTTTGAAACTTGTACACCTGACCATCAAACTTAAAAGTTTCGGAACCACTGATATCATCACTGATAATACACATTCTCTCCCCCCCCCCCCCCCCTCCCCCCCCCCCCCCTTTTCCCACCACCACCACCATTAATTTTCTTTGAAAATCAAATTCTGATAATTTGTGTGCACATTTATTTTGAGATCCCGATTAGTGAATTTCAATCCAAATGACAATGACATGTAATTCATTTAATCATTAAAACAAAGTTATATAGAAATATTTATTCAACATGACATGTCTTTAATATTTTCACATTTTCTAGTACATGAATTTCAAGAATGAAAAGCAATCAGCAGCTTATGTTCCTGTTACTGTTTTTTGGCTACATGACTCTGGTTTATGTGAGACAGTCTGTCTCTTTTGCAGCTCCTGTAATTGCAGAAAAGGAAAATCTAAAAAACAGTGATTTAGGTGAGGATAAATAATTTCTGACAAATTTAATTTGCCATATTACAATACATATAATTAATGACCTTAACAAAAGAAGATATATGCATAAATTACATCACACATGACCTGTCATTTTCCATTTTTAACATGTTTACAGCATAGTTTAAAAATATATACAAAACCATGTGAAGGATAAAGCTTTACCATATATATTTCCTTCTAGTTGTTATATACATTGTCTTTAATTATTAAAAAAAATTGATCATTTGAATTTAATAAAACAATGATGTTATATATTGAATTGTGGTAAAGAATACCCAAAGGCAAAAGCTGATCAATCCAAGCATTTGGAAAATTGACTTGAGTTGTCTTAAGATTGAAAGCCTTACTTTAGAAGTAAAGAAAGGCCATACCATGTATTACTCTATTCGGCTAATTTAACTGTAAATATAGCTTCATCTTTTCATTATATTTAGTCAATATTTTCCAGGTCTAATAATCAGCAGCCAACAATTGGGCTACACATTTATTAAATTTATTGGTGGAGCCCTTGCAGACACCTTAGACCCTAGCCTTACATTTACTGCATGTCTTTTGATGACAGGTTTAACATGTGCTAGCTTTACAGGTAATGTGGACCTCAATTTTTTTTAAATTTATATTTTTTGTATCAATTTTTTGGATTGCAGTTCATATAAACCTTATCCTTTATATAATAATCAACCCATGCTATTCTCAAAAGATACATTTGGAGCATGTTTTTTTCTTGGAAAGTTCAACTATTCTTTCACCAGCTGTTACCTCAGTGACATATTTTGCTCTCCTCTGGTTTCTTTGTGGCATGGCCCAAGGACCGGCCTGGTCAGCTTGTGGAGTTATATTAAAACAGGTAACAATATCAGAAGTAGGGCATCCAATTAAATTACTGATTTGATTGAAATAAAGAAAATGATCTATAGCCTGAATATTACATTGGATGTATGAAAATTTATATTATTTGTTCATTTTGATTTTGAAAACCAGAGGTTAATGATTTCATTTGTGGATCTTTTCAGAACTTCCCACCGGATCAATTTGCCACCTGGTGGAGTGTTTTGTCCACATCTGCTAATGTTGCTGGTACAGCAGGACCTTTTGTGTCACAGTTTATTGTCAGTCACAGCAGCTGGAGAGCATCTTTACTCTCTGCAGGTTTTACAATTTTTACGTACAATTATTACCTACCATAAGGATTAAACAATCTAGTTGATTAGCAAATGGCTGTTTATCAAAACAGCTTTAGATATTACGCATGTGTTTTAAAAAGCCATGACTTTTAATTAGATGTAACTCTTTTAGTAGCTTCAATACATAATCCTGGTTGGGGGAAAACAGCCCAAAAGATTGGAAACCCATAATCTATGTAAAAATAACTGGCAAATCATGATCTGGAAGCATATTTGTAAGAGTTAAATGCATCAAGCGTCTCTATACATTAATTACATAAGTTGGACCATGAAACCCCTGTTAACCATTGAAACTTCCTATGCATGTTTAATTATCTTCTTATCCGAGTTTAGCAACTTGCTGATGATTTTGATATCTTACAATTTTAGCCTTCTCATCCCTTGTGCTTGGAGTCCTATGCTTTTTGTTATTGAAAACATCAAAATCTCATTTAGATGGTGAGACGCAAACCACAAGGAAAAACGGTAAAACCAAAATTATAAAAAAAACTTCTTGCTATATATTTATTGTCTGTTCTAAAATAGCTCTATTGTGGAAGCACTTGTTCTTGATTATTTCATTATCATATCTTTATCATACCTTACATTAATTTCCAGTGAAAGATCTGAACTTTAGAGCACTCTGGAATCCTGTGTTGATGTTGCTTTGCATGAACTATTTACTTGTGTCTGTTATCAGAGGAGCGTGCAATGACTGGGGACAGATGTACATCATCTCAAACAAGGGGCAGTCACCCCTGTCAGGTGGGTACTGTCTGATATGGGGAATAATCATGCAGTATAGTTTCTCCCAGTGTCTATTTCTTTTTCTCTTAAGTTGAAGAACTTAACACGAGTATAGTTTATAAGCTAGTTATTGTTTATCTAATTTTTGTTCAATTTTGAGCTCTGGAGCATAAATCTTTACAAAATCAAGTTTCCCCTACAAATTCCAATTTTGGAAAACAATTTAATGGCCACAAAGGCATTTATCTAATCATTTAAAAAAATCATACTTCATATTATTAAATGAAACAACTATTTCAATTTTAAAGGAAGCAGTTTTATAAGTAGCCAAGAGATTGGTGGAATTGTCGGCTCCTTATTGACTGGCTACCTCTCAGACTTCATGGTGTCCAAGGCAAGTATTAACCTCATTGAAACCCATTTGAAACCAAAACCTGGTTAGCTTGTTAAGTTGTTTATTAACAACCCTGCCCCACCCTGCCCTATAACTAATAATGATGCCCCTGATTGTGGCCTTGTTGATAGCTGCTGATGTATGACTTCAACAATCTGAGATTTACTTATGCATAGGATTCTTTTTAAAAAAAAGAGTTTTTAAGTTTAAAAAAAAGAAAACAGCGTTTTTATAACTAATAACTTGTTTTAATGTTTTTTTTACAGGGGTCCAGCAGTGCCAAGCCACGGCTTAGCCTGACAATGTTTTTAACTGTGATACAAACACTTGCATTGTACTTCATTGTTTTCAAGACAGACTCACAATCGACACAGGTACTGTGCTGTGATATATTGAGACATATTGTAATCTCTTCTTGTTCTGCTCCTCTGCTCTGTGCTTATTCATTGGTCTACCAATCACTTTTATGCAAACAGAAATTTACAGAACTGTCATGCAAATACTTAAGTGACTCTTCCAAACCACTAACAGGAAAACACGTGCATGAGTCTACAAAGTGCTGACCAACTTCAACCTGATCTTTTACGCTGAAATTTTTCATACAAGTCGTTTGGCCGCATCTTGGCACTGACCATTTCTTATATTTATTTTATTTCCCCAGCTTTGGACCAACAGTTTGGGTTTTTTCATTGGTTTTGGAATGTATTCAGCCATTTCCCTCCTTGGTGTGGCTTCTATGGAAACAGCACCTAAAAATCTCTCGGGCACTGCACATTCTCTAGCGACATTAGGGGGAAACCGTAAGCTTATTTATCACTTATATTGGTGACCAACCACTTTATTTGGGCAGTTTATTTAATTATTAATCAATTTAAGAAAAGCCGATAAAGAACTTAATGGTGTGAGCAAGTCAGTCACATTTTATTTCATCAGTGTATTATCTATGAAGTAAAGTTCTAGTTGTTTTTTTTCCTAACATGTGGATATTTATGAATGTCAGTGTAGAGTGAGAGCCTTTTTTAAAAAAACAACAACTAGCCATTGAGTTTAATGAGAATTCAAGGAAGTGACCAATCAAATCAAAGCCATTTTTTCTACACAAAAATAGGATTTGCTTTGGATTAAACAGTTGAAAAAAGCAATTAATTTCCATTATCCCACTTGCCCATCAGATTCTGATTTAAAATCTTCTTGCATCTTTATAATTTGATAGATTTATTATTTTATACAGACAGAAGTTTAGTAACATTTAAAATGTTGCCTTCAAAATACATTTAAACTTTTATTGTTTTAACAGTTGGACGTGTTCTGGCTGGCTACCCACTGAGCATTATAGCTACATGGATGTCCTGGCATGAGAGTTTTATAGTAGTTTTCTTAACTAGTTTTTTATCAATTGGCATTTCCTGTTTGTGCCTCAGGTTTTTGAATATAAAAGAACAAAGTGCTCCACTAAAGAAATTTGATTAATGAACTCTTTGAATGTGAAATAATCAACATGGTAACTCTAAAAAGCCAGATGTTGAACAAATGTGTAATTTTTATTTTTTTGTGGTTCAGTTAATAAAATACTCCCTTATCCTTTAACAAAAAAATCTATTAAGGTATGTATCTCATTAGACAGCCGTAGGTATTTATGACAACTAACATATATCATTTGAACAAAAAAGTTTAAATTTACACATACATTTTTTTTGCGCTAGTTTTAGTTTTAGACGTATCCTAATGTCAAGTTACATATAACTATTAAGCATTTGTTCATCTATCAACTTATTTTCCTTGTTAAGACATAAATGAACAAAGTTTCACATAGAAGGTCTAGTTTATTCAAGACAAAGTTTCACCTACTACAAGGTCTAGTTTCTTCAGAAAAAAGTTTCAAATACAAAGTCTAGTTTCTTCAGAACAAAGTTTCACATACAAGGTCTAGTTTCTTCAGAACAAAGTTTCACATACAAAGTCTACTTCCTTTAGAAAAAGTTTCACATACAGGGTCTAGTTTCTTCAGAACAAACCTTCACATGTCAGTACAAAGTCTAGTTTTTTCAGAACAAAGTTTCACATACAAGGTCTATTTTCTTCAGAACAAAGCTTCACATGCAAGGTCTAGTTTCTTCGTTTGATCCAAAACATTCCTCAATATTGAGCAGAAATTTGAGCAGAGAAAACTTAAAGTTTTATCAATTCTTATTTGTTGTACTTGTAGAATCTCATTCCACTTGGTTTAAATGCTGCTTTGAAAAGACAGCTGTTTCCATTTACCATACACCAATTACATTGATAATAATTTTAAAAGTACTAAGCTTGAACAAAATGTCTTTTTGAATGGATTTATTTGAGGGGGAAATTTTTTTATTTTTAAATTTCATATTTTAGTGGCTGTGTTGAAATTATATACCGGTGCTTAAATGATCTATTTAAAAAATATTGATTGTACAGTATTTTATTCAGAGAAGATGCTATGAATAAAATCAGATTTTCTTTTTTTCTCTATTTTTTAACAGTCCTTCATTTATTATCCTTAAAAAAACAACACCATTGTGAAATTCCAGTAGTGAAGCCTTTCATTTATAATATATATATCTTCTCACCAGCAATCTCCAATGTCTATTTAATTGTTAGCCTGAAATGTCTGAAAACTATTTACATTTTATTGTAAATCAGTTTGTGTTTAAAAAAATTTCTTAAAACATATTTACTTGCTTGGTACCATGTTTTGGTATCACATTCTGGATCTGATAATCAAGTTGTTTTTTGTTTGAAGTGTTATTGAAAAAAATAACTAGAAGACAGCATTAGCAACTAACTGCCCTTATTGAAAGGTCAAGAGTTTTCTAACATGGATAACAACATGTATTAAGATTTAGTTTACCCAGATAAATTAAAGCTAATGGTAATTTAGACACAAAATATTTAAACTTTTTATTAAGAATATTTATAAAAATTGTGCGATAACTTTGTTTTATTTGTTTTCAACTGTCTAAATATTTTCCCCTTCACACATTTGTTAAATTTTATTGGCTGTGACAACTTCAAATTAATGATATTTCTATCTATAAATTATAAATTAGTGTCGAGCATTTTTGACATGAACTGTGGTAGTTATTTTGTTAGTATTGTTAAATTTACTAACAATTATTGCTTCTTAATTTCTTCAATTCTTTAAAGGAAGAATTTTTAAAGAAAAATAAATTTCTTTCTTTATTTTAAATGATTTTATTTCATTTGGATAGAGACATCTTTGCCTGATTAACTTTTATATTGTATTTTCAAGGAAATTTTGAATGTAATAATTTTTTTAAGGTCATTTTTTTCCCATTTGTAGCTTCTAATCATTGTTTATCTGTTAAATCTCCTTGGTTTTTTAAATTTTTATTTATGATTTTTTTTACCACTGCAAAAATAGAGAGTCAAGTCAACTTAAAATGAAGAGTATGTCCATATCTCTAGAAGCTAGTCCTTTAGTTTATCCATAAGAAACAGTGTCTATAAACTGGTTCTCGCTGAAGTTTATGATAAGTAATTATGTAGGGAAAAAAAAATCTCAAAATTTCATTGGGTTAGGGCTGTCTTTCAAATGATCTAGTTTCTAATATGCTCTTGTGTGGTTATTTTACTAATTTGTCAATTATTTTGAATTGCTTATGTGGTTTTCTTGATCACATTGTTTCTATCCCTGCCAATGTTTTGTTTCATTGAAGCATTATTTTGTGCAATACATGATAAAGAAAACCATAACTCTGTACTCCTTATAATCTGATCTGCTCATACACTAAGTGCCTTCTTGTTATGTTGAAGAAGCTTGGAAAGCCTCAGGGTGGAAAAAATGTTTCTATTTAAAATTATGCATTCTAACATTAATAATCTGTTTAATATCTACATATTGAACAGAAAGCTATGGGCTGTTACTTATTCCTAGCTAATTATTTATTCATTTTTATATTGGGATATAATTCAGATCATAAGAGATACGCGGTATTTTCACCTGTCCAAAATAAAATAAAAAGATTTGCAAATATATGTTTTATATTGTAAAAAATTTTTTGGATTAATTAAGTTACAAATATTGCAATTTACTCATATTGGTACTATTACTAGTCAACCTCTAATCTCATCCACTTAAATCAACTGGCAAAAGTCAAATTAGTCCCTATCAAGAGAGGTGTATCATTTTAATAATGGATGAAGTCAAAGTGTTAACCCTTTAGATAATCCAATGTGGGGGGAAAAAAGAAAAAAAACAACTAATGGGGTCTAATAAAAAAATTGTTCATATCTCTTGAACATAGAGTCACATACGAATAATTTACTAGAATTCAGCCAGTTTAGCTTAATTTAAATATTTTTTTTTAGTGAAATGTGTAATGAATTTTTTTTTAAATAATTAGGGTACATTTTCAAACTCAGAATAGCTTTACAATTTACCAGAATTTTAATTGGTAGTGAACTCATATTATGTAGGCCTAATAGTTAGAGTTTGTTAGAACTGTTCAACGTTTTGTTTGTGCGGATAAGGACCATTTATAAATGACAACACGTGATCTTGTAGTATTTTTGGTTCCATCCTCTCCCTTTGTCACCATAGGGACATATATATTGTCAAGTATTTTCTAATTTTTTATTTAGGTACTTATTACCAGTAGTCAGGCATGTAATCTTTTTTCCACAATTGACATGCTTCTGGTGGTAGCTTTTTCCCTAATATATAATTTTCAACCTAAATATCTCTAACTAAATATTGATTTCAATTGATATCAATATGCATTGAGATGTAAGCACTAGCAGAATGCAATGTTGATCATATTTTAAAGATATACTCAGTGTCATGAACTTTTTCATCACAATTTATGTTATAATATCATTGTTCATTTTTTGTATAAATTCAAGGAATAAGCTGAAGAAAAAAATAAATTTAAAAATGCACCATTTTAACATAACTCTTGATTTGTGTTTATCCTATTTCCCTTTAATAAATTACCTCTTTTCCAAAAATGAAACATATTTCTATGATTTTAAGGCATTCATTTTTTAACACATTTTCATTAAAATGATAAATGACACAATTCAGTTACCACTATTAAAGGGCAACTATCCACACCCGCATTGGGGAAAATAATGGGCATGGGTTGAGCTAATTAAAAAAAAAAAGGGAAAAATCCACCCAATTATTTTCATTGTCAGGTCGGGTGCCAGTGGAACTTCCAGCGTGACAATAAGGGATTATCTTCAAATAATCTTATTCAGAGGTGTAGTTTTTGGTCTCTGAAACGGGTTTAGCGTCATTGTAAATATGATTTTTATTCTGATGTCCCTCATAATTTAAACACACCCCCCTCACCCCCCACCCCCGCACACCTTTTAAAAAAAATTTAGAAAGAGTTATAGACCCTTAGATTGAAAGCTCTTCAAAATGGCGCCTAGTTACTAGTGTAAACAATTTGACAAGTTATAAGTGTCGAAAAATTTGTTATGCTATTTATTTGTTATATATATATATTTGTCATTCCATTTAACGACTAATTTGTGTTAGACTATCACTAATCCGAGTTCCCACATCTGAAGTTGAGTTTGTCATATAAAAAATAGCTAACTAAGTAACTAAAACTACTGATTGAGGAATGGCGGCTAATAATTGTAATTAATACTAATAATACTAATAAATTTACTAATTAATATTTTAATTATGGCCGTGGCCCTCTGACTATGGTCACTACAGCTACAGCTAGTACTACATATTCATAGTAGTTACTAGTAGTAGAGTAATTGACTATTATTATAGAAATGAAAGTGAATGAGTGAAATTATAATTTAATAATAATAATTAATATATTTAATAATATTAATGTAAATCAATGGAGTTGGGACAAAACAAGTCTGAAATTCACAGGACAACAAAAACTAAAATTACTAAAAAAAACTCTTCAATTTATTAGGCTGGGTTGAATTAACTTTTGATAATAATGTAAAACTGTTATTCATAACTGATAATTGTTCCAAAGATTTTTTAATAAGAATAATGAAAATCTCTTTATATTAAAATTAAATTGATAAGAAATAAGAAGCGCCATTTCTCACAACCCATTTTTTTTTTTTGATAACTGACATTTTCGAACTTTTACACCTTTCAGTCTGAATAATAATTTTAAAAAGTCCAAGTTGAATTTACATTTTAAAATAATTATTTAAGTAGGCCTATATTACATACTTTAATAGCATTATAAATTTTATATTTTAGGACTATAGACTAGTGAATGGTTCTGAAATATAAGGTGCTAATAGTGTTGGTCGATTTGTAATTCCCATTTAATGGTAAGTACACATCTAAAATTATTTACAATAAATAAAATATTTATTTAAATGAATTGGCAAAATGTGTTTTAAAAATGTATTTTATAATTTCTCAAGGTTTCTCAACGGTTAAAAGTCCCCTCCCTCCAGAGGCACAGGGGAAAAAAATTCATTTTTATTTTTACATCCCACCTCAACTCTGAAACCCATTATTTTTATCAATAAAATATCACCAAAGCCCCAACTAGACTGGTGTCCAGTAATATCTGTCCTACTATGCCCCCCCCACCCCCCACCCCCAACCTCTGCCCCCATTCCCTCCCTTAGTGGAAGATTTGAATTAAAATAGGTATCAGTGCTTCCATCAGGAAGAATGAATTTTAGTTGCTGCATGTTTAGTACCCTATATTCAAAGTTGTAGCATAAAAGTTACAATAGCCTAAGTGAAATATATTTGAATTACAATAAATTAACAAATGACAAACAATTCAATAACAGTGACAGTTGTTAACTTTAAAACAGTGTCCTTTCTAACAATGTACATCCATCCTCCTTTTTTTCTTTTTTGTTATGTTTTAAAGAAATTAAAATATATTACCTATTTGAAAGGCTTAATGTCCCTGATAATCTTAAAATTGCACCCCTTTGGCATCACAATAGTAAAAAATGTATAAATCTGATGTTTTTAAATTACAAATTAATTTATTTTCTCAAATAAAATAATATTCCATGAAAAAAATAAAATCATTGATTATAGGCTGCAACACACAATTTAATAGTACATGTATATTTAATCAGTATAGGTTTTAAAAAAATCATTTGTACTGTTTATAAATATATTTATATTATATTATAATTTATATTTATATATAAATACGGTAATTATTTCAGGCAGAACCAGATCAATTTGAAATGGTGCTCAAAATGAACAGATGGGCTCCTGATGGCTCTAATAACAATTCTAATCCTGTTAAGTTCAGACAAATCGGACATAAGACATCTCATCAGGAGGGTGTAATTCCAAAAATTGAAACAGACTACAAAGATCATAATTTCACAATGAATCATACTGCACAAGGAGAATCAGCTAAACATATTTTCTTTAAGGTTTTAAAATGTTGAATGTTGACTTAAAAACTATGGCCTTAATTGCTTTTGGTATTTTTAAAAGACAATTTTCAATTCAGTTTTATAAAAATCAAGTAGATGTATTTGCTTGAACATATAGTTGACCAAAAGTGTTAAATATTTTTTTTTAAATAATTAATATTCCCATTGCATTCAGGATCCAATGCTTCCTCAAGATGAACAGATTTTGATGTCTCAAAATTCAGATTTAGACCAGGTAAGTTTTAATGTGTACTTTTAATTGGATTTGAATTTTAAATGTTTACTTTTAGAAACATGTTCTAACTAGTAGTATATAAAAATTAATTGGTAGTAATAAAATATTATAACTGGTGGTACATCACTTATTGGGCCTTCAAATATATTAAAAATGGTTAAAATATATTCTTAATCAGTAAAGTTGTTTAATAACATAATTTCAATAATTTAACAGAATTTTGCTATTAAAATTAAAACATATTTTTTTAAGCTCTGTTGAGAATGGCTTAACATGGAAGATAAAAACATTTTTTAGTACTTTATGTTGATTTATAATTAATTAACCTTTTACCTTGCAGGTTCCCTTTAAACTTGGAAGAAATATGAGAGCATGCAAAGATGTTACCCACCAATCATTGGTAAGGGTATTACCAAAGAACAAAGATTTGTTTTGTTAAATCAAGTAACCCCCCCCCCCCCCCCCTTTTTTTTTTTTTTACCCCCCCCCCCCCCCTTTTTTTTTCTTTTCTCCAGATAATTTACCATAAAACTATTTCAATCAAGTCTATTTGAAATTTTACATTTAAAAAACATAATTGTTTTATCTTAGATTCATAGTAAAGCATTTTATTTCCTCATTTATCTTAAATATTTGTTTTTAATTTGAGTACATATTGATACTAATCCATTCCAATCTAAAAAAATATAACCTTTACATTTATTTTGGTCAATTTTCTTATAAGGATGTCCATAAAGTGATATCAAAACGTAAGCAATTACTAGAACAGCAAAAAGAGCAAAAAGTGATCCATGAAAAGGAAGAAAGAACTTTGCATGCAGCTACAACTTTGGTCAATGACCTACTTCAAAATGGATTCCACATAACTCCCCCTGACAAGACACCAAGGCTGGATCAGTCAGTATCTCCTGACAGAGAAGATACATTTTTGCCTCACGTGGATGACAGAAAGCTGATTGTAGCAATACACAGAGAGTTAAAACGAGTGCAGGCTGGTGATATTGAATAAACACAGTAGTGACAAAATTATAATTTCATTTGCAGATCATAGCCTTCATATGATCCATCATTATCATTTAAAAAAGATTGCCATACCTCACTATTTCAATTAGATTTTTGCTACTGTTTAGTGAGTTTTTCAGTAAAAGTAGCTAAATATCTTTGCTGCATATTCTGTGTTGACCAAAGTAAGTGATTTAGGTATATACATAAGATAATTGTAATATTAAATATTTTACTCTTAAAAGAATTTTTTTTTAATGTATTTATCTAATTTAGACTTTTGGCATTACATTTAAAAAAAATATTTTCATGATTTTAAATACTGGTAGTCTGGTAGTTATTTTTTATTCAAAAAACATAATTAGACGTTTAGACTAAATTTAATAGACATTTTGGTTTGAAAAAAACATGCTTACTTTGAAGCATTGATGTTTCACACAAAAATTAATTTTTAAAAAAATTATAATTTTTTACTTTTTATATTATGAGCAAAGACTGTTCCATGGCTTCTATGCATAGAATCTAAAACTTTATTAACTGACTGATTACATTGTAGAATTTTGAATTAAGTACAAGAAAGGAAAATAAGTTTTTATGATTTCAATTCTGTACTATTACCATGTGTGTATAAAATGCTATTTGAAATAAGTTTACTAAAAAAATTTGTGACTATCAAACCATTACAATATTTTTACATTTTAAACTATTGGTCAAAACATTTAACAAAATTTTATACAGTCTCAAATAATCATATGACACTCTAATAAGATAAGATAAGATAAGATAAGATAAGATAAGATTCTTTTATTGATCCAAACAAATGGAAATGTTTTATGATTGCATTATACAATTTCAGCCCATAAATAAAATAAATTGAACACAAGACATTTATAATAAATTATTTCAAACAGCCATTCAGTGAGTTCTCATATCCAAATTGGGGACTTATTAGTTCTCATTAAGATGTGTGACTTCAGAGGGAGCATGCTGGTAAATTGGTACAGATAGGGGAACAAAAGAATTTGTATGTCTTTCAGTCCTTGCCCTGATGGAAAGAATTCTTCCTGAACGGCCCGATCCTATGTATCTGTGATGAAGAGGGTGGGATGTATCATCCAAAATGTGTTTAGTTTTACAAAAACATCTTTCTTCAAATAGTTCTTCCAGTGAAGGGTGTTTAGTTTGTGTTATGTTCCTAGCTTTCTTGATTAGTCGGTTTATGCGGTGTTTAATATCAAACGTTGAATTCCCACACCAGCAGGTAATACTGAAATTAAGCAGGCTTCCAATTGTTGCACTGTAGAATAAGTTAAGACAATGACATGTGAAATTACTTTTTCACTTCATAGACTGGCATTTTTATTGTCGCCTCCATATTGTTTTGTTTTTTCAAAACTAACTTAATTCATAAAGGTTTCTTGTAATTTTAGTTTAATTTTTTCTTTAAGTTTAAGGGCTAATTACCTTTTCAAATTTAAAATTGATTGGCATTTTAAGCCATAAATAAAATACAAATATTAACACCCATTATCTTTTTTTTAAAAAGAGAAACTTAAAAATCTTAAGGCCACAAACATGTTGAAAATGTTCAATCTATTCAACTCTTAATAGATGTCATTATTGTGAAGTTCCCTGTTAAAAAGTAGGCTACAAAGAAAAATTTAATAAGAAAATATCCTAACAGCTCATGATAATTTAATTTATTCAGTTGAGTTTTTTTCGTCACTACAGTCAGAATCAGATCTTCATTTTTAATGTATAAATCGACTATGATTATTATTGGAAAAACCAACTTCATGTCTTCATAATAAACTAAACTATAAAAAAGATCACTTAATAATTGTACAGGCTTTTATCTTCTTACTGTTCTTGTATGGACATCTACTGAAAATAAGGCGCACATTACAGCTGCCCCATACCAGATTACCAATACAAGTTTCTCCATATTACTGTATATAAATTATTATTTAATAGAAACGGCACATGTTAATTAAATCTCAAAGAATATTTAATTATCTGTTTTTGTTTAAATTAATTTTTTAATACTTTTAGTTGTGTAAACTATTGTTTGTATATATGTTTTTACTAAACTGTGATAAACCTTAATTTGATCATTTCTGTTTTAGTCATGATTTTTAGTGTTCAATGACATATCATGTAAAAATGAATATATTAAACCATTTGTTTAACCACACTTCTACATGACTACTACCAGATATTGCTTTTTATTAACAAAGAGACAATATTTTATGATTTGCTCAGTTATAAATAAATTTCAATGATCTTTATGTGAAACTATTTGCATGGCTAAGACACCGGATTGTAAACATAATACAGAAAATCAATCCCCAATGGTGAAAATAAGATTTAAAAAAAAAAAGAATTAATTTTTTCATTGAGTGCAGTTATAATCATATGTCATTTTGTTTAAGGAGTGTAAATTAATATATATATCTATTATTTAATCATGAAGTTTTAACTCTCAAAAGAAGGCAGAGTTATTTCCAGTGCTGAGAGGCTGTGACAGTTGACAATTTGAAACAGTGTTCCTTTTTTTATAAAATAAGAATCATATTTATGAAAAAATTAGTCGATCCATGTTTTTATTTTCTTCCGCATTTGTAATAATTTGTATGTGTTATATTTATTGACCTGCATTTGATAACAAGCCATTTGTAATATCAAGTGGAAGTTTATGTTCATTTGTTTATTTTCATGTAAAGCTCTGGTTTAAGTAGAAATGTGTGGACACTAATCTAAAATGTTAACATAGTGTCCACACATTTCTCTAAAATGTTAACTATTTTTCCTCCATTTTTATCTGATCTGCAATAGAAAGCAGTAAATATTTTTAAAACATTTTTTTCAATGAATTGGTTTGATTTACACAGACTATTTGTTGAAAATTTGTTTATGGAAAAAGACATAGTAGAAGTTAGTGATGTGAAGTGAATCAACAATTCTTTGTTTGTGTGCACAGACCTGATTAAAACCAGTCAGCACAACATTTGGCATTCACAAATTTCATCTTTTTCAAATTATTTGCTATTTAATTGCTGTTTAAAGACATATATAAACAAGATCACATAAATTAGTAGAAGGTCAGTATTTTAAAAAGAATTTGATGGGTCAATAAGCCTGTTATTTGTTATATTTCTTGTAAACTAAAATACATATTGTTTGTCATATATGCCTTTTAGTTCATCCAAATACATGTTGGCTGTCAGATTTATCTGTGGTCTATGAGATATATGTTGTCTGTCATGAAATTTGTTGAATAAATTGAATTATGTTTTAATGGTCAAGAATAAATCCCGGAGATTATTATAATTGTATGGAGTGAAACAAAAATTATTTACTTTATGGGATTATATTATATGTCATGATGTAGCTGTAGCAAAAAGACTGAAAAACACCTAATGAGACATTGAGTGACATGCTGCTACTGCTTCGTTCAGTGACATGGTCCTGGTGATGCATTCAGTGACATGAACCCAGTGAGGCATTCAGTGACATGAACTGTGATGTAGGTTAATAAAAACAATTATTTTGATTAATAAAACAAAGTAAATGAAATAAAATTAAATTAGGATGGGTTAGGACTGGGATTTTCAACTTTTTTTGAGTGAAGAGCCATTTGGGGTTAAGCTTAAAGGAGGTCTGCAAAAAATAAGCATCTTGGCTACACCCGCCCCACCTTGTCCACATGTGGCTTACCCTCCTTCCACATAGGGATCGACATAGGCATTATACTATATACAGTGTGAAAGGCCAGGGTGTATAATGATGATTGTAAATAGCAAAGAATGAATAACTAGGTTTATACTTCAAAATAAGTCTGAAAATATAAATAATTTTATAAGTAATTAGAGAAAAAAAATTTCAAGTCCAAACGTGCATCATTACGAATTTAAAAATAAATAACCAAATATTTAGATGATTTCCGACATATATGTATAGTCATAGTTTTTACTAACTTATTGATTGCGTCAAATTATATATATATATATATATATATTAATATATAAATATATATATATATAAATAAATATATATACACATATATATATTGTGTACATAATTTATTTTTAAATACCATTAAAAATGATCACAGCAATTTTCGACTGGAAATAGACCAGGATGCAGTAGATGACTTTTAGTCTTGTGTATTTTACTGTGCTCTTTATGCGTTCCATGTCGCAGGAGTTATCTGAATTTCGTGTCAATGTCATACCGCCTACGGGACTCCATCTCCGGGTTTTATTTCAGAGTTTGCCTTCTCCAAGATGAGTTGCGATCCTAAATAACGAGTCCCATCCAATCAGTGCTGTTTTTGCTCGTCTGGCTTTTGCTGCATGGGGATGGGAGCTCAAGCCCACAAGCTTGGGATTGCCTCAGTTTAGACCACTCTGCCACTCATCATCACCCTTTAAAATACTACGCGATATGAAATGAGTATATTTTGTGCTTTAGATCTTAACTTAACATTGTAACAATTGAATATAATTATCTAATGAAGATGGGGAAAAATATAATTTTAAAAAAATAAGGTGATATAAAGAACTCGTAATGCCTGAGATTTAAAAGCCGAACCATGAGTTCAACCGGCCTTTTCACTACCAATAATCTAATCTAATTTATAAAAGGAATAAAATCGGGAACCTGGGCCCCAAGCTTCTTTTACAACCCACCGGAAATCCCATTTCATAACCCCCCCCCCCC